CTTTATCTTAGATGAGATCTTTTTTAGATTTTTTTAGGGTTTGTTTTTTTTAAATCAAGAACATGGAAATAAAGCAGGAACACTGATTCTAAAGCAAACTTACAGTTAAGAAGTTATGCATACATAAGAAGTCAGAAAATAAAAACACTTCAGGGTCACAGCCACATAGCTACATGGGTACACTGGTCTGACTACAGAACAGGAACCAATATTTGTGGCACACTTGTAAGAAACTGAAACTTCATTTCCTTACCTGAAGATATCAGCTTATGTGCATGGTGGGTTAGTGCTGGGGTCTCTCCAGTGGCATGTGCCTGGTGCCAGGGGGTCCAGCCTCGTGCCATGGAACAGATGCAGCACCAAGTCCTGGTTCTGTGCCTGCAACCAGCCTGGCTCTGCATGGGCTGTATTACATCCCCCTGCCTGCCATTCATGTCTCCATGTCCACTCTGCAGTTAATGTTTCTCTCTGTGCTGATTCCTCATGAACCACCGCAGCTCATTCTCTACTGGCTTGTCCTCCACTGGCTTCTCTACCAGAAGCCCCAGCACCATCTTTCTTGTCCAGGCCAGGTCAGCTTGCCAGATCTTTCCCCACCATGAACAACTCCACACAGCTGTGGTGGGAGGTGGGGACAAGCCATGTTGGGTCACTTCTGAGAGGTTGCTCATGTCCTGAAGCACCCTTAAAAGCATGTTGTGGCACCCCAGTTGAGAATCACTGGCCTAAACATACAGTAAAGATTGCAAGGTGCTCAGATACTGCAGGCATAGAGACCACATAAACTTCTACAGTTAAATAAAATACCTGATTACCTGTTCCATTCCCTTTTGTCTTTATGAGCAGCATGTTTTTCTAGCTTACAGCTCACATGCTCCAGGTAGCAGCTAATCAGGCAAGCAGTCTTTGCAACAGCACTTTGTAATCCCCTGTCCTGAGAACTAACCCCCTGACACAACCCATCCAACAGAAATGCTACCCATCTGACCTAATGTACCGTTCTGCTAACATTTCTTAATTGCTACAGTGGTCATATTTAGAACAAATCTCAGTAAAAGCTTTCCCTTTGATATGACACAACAGAAATAAAGACTTCTACTATTTCAAAGATGATTCTTTTTTCTTACACCCCTTGGAATAGACAGTAGACAGTAAACGATCAGGGTTTGTTTTTTTCCTTTCTAGCCTTTCTTTACTCTGTGTCATATATCCATGAGAGGTCTGAGTACAACATTATTTCCCTGATCCCTGAAAATTAAGCAGGACCTCTCAATCTTGTTCCTCTGTGAAAATGAATGTTTGCTCTGAGGTCTAGCTGAACAACAGGCATTGAGAACTCATTGTAGGATAGAAGACCTAAAGCTCTCATGTCCACTGCCATTTTTCAAACCCAGCAGAGTTTCAGTTTATCTCTTCACTGAATTAAACTAGTACCAGTAGTTTTACTTACTTGATAAAAATGTTATGATAGAATGAAAGTAAAATTTAAAAACACCAGTAACTTAAGGGTAAAAAACATTACAGAGAAGTGCCATACTTATCTAAAATCCAAACATTAAACACTCAGGAAACTGAGACGTAGTGTTAATTTTAATATCCATTTAAACAACCAACAAGTTTAATTTCCCTGGTACTGACATCGTTCAGTAACCATATGATTTTGATTAAAGAATTTTAGTGCTTGTGGTTCCTGGGTTAGATTGAACTGATTTCTAAAGGTATGTTATGATTTGATTTCCCTAATGTCATGAAATTAATGTTTTCACCTCATTATGTTACTACAGGGGAGGATTAAGATTGGTTGGATAGCTTCAGCCTACATTTTTTATGCTTTAACATGTTTGTCTTTCTTTTAAGGATAAACCTAACTCTGATTTTCGTGGGTTTGGGGAAATAGTATCTCTGTAATTAGTTTTATCCTTAAATTACTGATATAGGGTCTCAACCTTAGCTCTCTTTTAACATGGTGCTTTGTCTCAATATAACAAAGAGTTGTCAATGTACTGGATTTGTTTCAGTCTTTTGCAAAGAGGTACAATAGTTGTTCATTTAATAATAATCATGAATGATGATCACTACCACATCTCAGACCTTGTCAACACCTCTGTCACCTTCCATGTAAATATACACTGATATAGCTAAACTGGGGTATGTCTTTGTATGGGTACTTTTTCAGTGTTTAATAAGTTGATTGGAAAGAAGTTTAAATGAATATCAGTTAAGCCTGCCTTACACAATAATGAGCATGCTCAGAAAGGCTTATACCACTTTGATTATATTGGTTTAAAAAGTTAAGTGCAACTACACCAGGGCAGGCAATTATTTTGAGCGGAGGGCCACTTACTGAGTTTTGGTCAGCCATCGAGGGCCGCATGACAGGCAGCTAGGGGCAGATATATATTAATTTCCTAAATTTTTTTGGGGTCCCACAGGCCTGAATGGCCTGGCAGGCCGAATCCAGCCCATGGGCTGTATTTTGCCCATCCCTGAACTACACCAATGCAGTTTTTCCATACAAGTTGGCTTCAGTTTTCCTGTGAAACACCACCTGAATATTCCACAGACATTATCTTTAACATATGTACAAAATGAATGTAAAGAAGCACTACATAAAATGGGGCTAGTTGCACCATCCAGGGCTACCTGGCACAAGAGGTCAGCCTATGAGTCAGAGCAGTAGAGAATCAGAGTTCTTGTACATAGGAGTTATACCCTGTGTGCTGAGAGCTGATATGTTTTGTGTGTTATCTGCAGCTGTCATATTAGAGTACTGCTCATATTAGGGTATTGCTCATTTACAGTGATTTGTTGTACCATCTGAAAGGCAGGTTGTTTTAGAAGCGTTGGCTGATAAAAAAGAAATGTACGGAAACTGTTTGACAGCTGATTGAATTATGTTCCCCAGTGAGAAATTTAAAAGTGAAGTGCTGATTGGGATCTGTGTTGAGTCCATACCTGCTAGCAGTCTCTGTTTGACTGGAGTAGCAAACAGTCTCTGTCTTACCTGGGGTTTCAAAAGCCATCTCCAGTAAGTATTGTCCCGAGCCGTGTTACTCCTAGCACTCTTGCAGATCTTGATATGCACTGCCAGGGACCCTGATATATCCCTCCTCCTGTCAATGGGGGAAAGGATGGCGATAGTAAGGAATCTTAATTAGTAGTTAGCAAAGGGCACTGAATTCTTCTAGCCTTGCCTTCCAGTGACACATCAAAGGGTCACTGTATAAGATTGGATAAATAATCCCTTCAGCATAGCATTTTTCTTTTAATTTGGGTCAATTTTGAAGTGAAAAATTGTCATCTAGAAATGACGAGTCTAAATTTTTCTTTGGCAAATATCAGCATGAAATGTGCCAACATTCTGGGAAGGAAACATTTCATTTTTTAAATGTTGAGGCAACATGTTTTGAATTTTTCAAAATTTCTCCTTTTTTGTTTCCTTTTGGCGAAAACTATGTTTCCTTTTGGCGAAAAAGAGAATTTGATCCCAATTCATAAATATGTTCAGTACTCCCTCTATCACCCTTCCCCTCCCCAACCTTTTCCCCCATCCCAATTCAGCAAAATTACTATTTGTCAGTGGTGTTCAACCTATGGCTCATGGACTGGATCCAATCCCTGGGGTCTGGACCTTTGGCAGTGGGGGTGTGGTGGCAGTGTTAATTGTCACAGCAGAGCCCAGAGCCACATTCATTAATGCTGCCACCACTTCCCTGCCATAAAATTTCAGGATCTTCACGGGGCTGGACCACAGCCAGCCCATGAGTGGGCCAGACCAACACTTGGGGTCACTACATAGCCGCATTCAGTGCATTGGGCCAGGCTGGCACCCTGGGTCTCACCCATGAACTGACTCCGACTCACTGACCTCGCATCTGGGATCTAGCCTGTGGACCAGCCCCATGCCACTCATCTAGCCCCTGGGACCAGATAAATTGAGCACCGCTGCTATTTTTCAAGAACAAGGAAAAAGAAGAGAAGCACTCATCTCTGCTGCCTCAAAGGAGTTTCCATTCAGATATACATTTTTAAAGAGGGCCTTTAATGCTCCTTATTTCCAGACCTTGCTCCCTTTTCAAGTGTGCACTTGCAGCACACGTGCTCATATGCACATTTTCATTCCCAGCAGAGAGAGAGAGAGAGAGAGAGAGAGTGTGTGTGTGTGTGTGTTTTCACATATTCTCTTAAACTGTTCAAAGCTGCAAGGGAAAGGGGCACAGATGCTATTGTCCAGCCTCCATATCCAAAGCTGCACCAGATCCTTTTGTATAGAATGGGAATAGTACACAGTGGAGTATGGACAAACATGTATATTTGTTGCAGCTTCAAAAGGGAAGAGGGAGCTGCTGCTCAGAAGTGTGATACACTTGAGCTAAACTGCCCCAGATGAAGCAAGGTTAAAGTTCGAGCCATTCTGTTATGCTTGTTTTACTGCAGGCTCATATAAATATTACAGTTACCGTGTAACAGCTGCTGCACACTCCTGAGCATCAACTCCTTCCCTTTTTTGAAGTCACTATAAGCATATGCTTGTCCGTCTCTAGAGGCTTTGGCAAGTAGAATGAGACAGAGGTCCCAGTGACTCATGAAACTGATACCTGACTTCAGTGCCATAGCAACAAAGCCCACAGGGGCAGCCCACGTTTTCCCCGTGCACAGATCTGGGGGACACCCCCCCCAGGAGTGCATGCAGCAGTGGGAGCTGCCCTGTCTGCATCCCCCCCAAATGAGCTGTTCGCTGCTCCATCCCACACACTGCTTCAGCTGAGCAGTGCCTGTTGGCACCCCTTCGATTCAGCACCTCCGGCAGTTGCTCTGCTCGACCCCCTTGCTATGGCACTGCAGTAGCAACCTGAGTGGAAGGCAAACTGGGTGACTACCTGGGGCCCCACACTTTATAAAAATAAAAATTAATTACACGGAATATTTGTATTATCAATATGGTATTAAGATACTTTCATTTCAGTTCCATGGATAGGGCAAAGTGAAATTGAAATCAAAAATCTCCAACTGGCTTATAGGTCATCAGAATTAATCCTCTAAGGGGCCCCAACTGACTCCCTTGCTCAGGGCCCCAACAGCCCTAAGGCTACCACTGGGCACTGCCTGGCTTACCTGAAGGCTAGTCATGCTTTCTATGTCTTCGCATCAACCTGAATCTTAGGGTGTTTAAATAATCCAGATGGTAGACTCAAGACAAAATGTTTGGCCTGGATGCGACTGAGTTTTGGTGCCCTGTTTTTATTTCTCTATCCACTTTTAATTTACCAGGCATGGGACTTTACTATTTTTCAGATGATCTCAACTTATTTTATCATCCTGTATGTTCCATCGTGGCCAAGAACTATATAATCATCTATTCAAATACATACTCAGTTTCCATTCACTGACATTTTCTGCTAATGGCAGGTTTGAATACATCTTGAAGCTGAGTCAATGTTTCCAACCCTAATCCAGGCCGGAAGCAAGATTGGCCTCTTTCTCTCACAGTGTCTCCCTACATTTAGTCGATAGTCTTCTTTCTTTCTGCTTCACACCCAAAGTCTTTTGGGACAGATAACCATTTGAAAAACATGAAATGTTGTTAGCCATTGGCATTCTCAATATGATCTACAAGCATATGTTAAGAACATTGTGTAGAGTATGCCAAAGTTTAGGAAGCATGCTTATCTTTCTTTTCCCATGTGCACTATGAGAGGATGTGTTTATCTGAAGAGTGCATAGCAAGCCCCTCCTACAAACATACTGGATATTAATTATAATATTGAGTAAGATGCAAAACTCCTTTATGTTTGCAATTAAGTTAGAGACAGTAAATAAACCTTGCTCACACCATTGAGCAGTTACTCGCATTGTTTTCAGAGGGCTGCATTTTTTGAGCTGTTTCCGCTCTTATTTGGAAAGTGACAAACCAGTTTGTGTTCTTTTTATGAAAACAGCCATTTTAAACTAGCATATAATTAGTTTGCATAGCTTTCTATTGCATGTAAACTCATCAAAATAGATAATGCCTGTTCCCAAAGCTAAGCTACATTTTCTGCATTGTTCAGCTATGAAGTGTCATGATAATTACTTTTTTTAATAAGGCACATTCTGACAGTTTAATCACTGAGCTTTATTTGAATTAATATTTCCTCAGATTAAAATTTGCTTCACGGATGAGTGAGGATTCTTTCTTCATGGTACACTTGGTAATTTGGTAGTTGTAGAGGAGAGTTCATTCTTGTTTCTTTCCTTTTCTTATCAAGACAAAGGAGAAAAGAGTTGGAATTTTTACTACATAACCATATCAAAGGTTCTCCATTCAAGATTTTGATTATATACATGCTTCTTTTACTCAATTAGACCCAAACTGGTGAAATATTTAAGTGTGTTAATTCTCTATTTTTATAATGCACCATATTATGAATTTAGTCTCCTAACATTTGCATGCATAGAGAATTATTACCTCTCAGAGATGGGAAAACTGAATTACAGAGAGGTCAGAGACCAATCTTGTTCTTTTGGATATTTTGTTACTGACTTTAGCAGAGGATAGGCTTGGCCTTGAAATGACCAGAATGCCCCAGGACACATTTGAGATAACCAGAAATGGAACTCACATTTCCTGACCCTCTGTCCTGCATTTTGGCCTGTAGCACAGGGGTGGGCAAGGCATGGCCCATGGGCCAGATCTGGCCCACCAAGGGATTCTGTCCAGCCTGTGGCAGGTCCCTCAGCCCCAGCTGGTGCAGGCATGGGGGGCAGCTTGGGCTGTGGTGCATGTAATTGGTCCCACTGCCCCCAGGGCACAGAGGTGCCAGTGGGTGCAGTCTTCCCCATCCCTGTATGTGGCTCTCAGGCATGATGGGAACCGTAATTTGTGAGGCAGGGGAAGCATGGTGGCCGGACTCAGCTTCCCAGCAGCCCCTGCTGCTGCTGCCCAGGAGCAGGTGTGTGCCCCACCGCCCCAGCCAGACCCACCCTGGTGCCCAGGCACCTTGGGCCCATCCACCCTGCGCCCACTGCAGGGGGGTACCAGATGGGACCCACATGGCCAGGGCGTGGTTGGCCAGGCAAGTGGGATGAGGATGCAGGTGGGTGTGAAGTAGCATCTGGGGGTGGGGTGGGTGGGCATGGCCAGATTTGCAGGCAGTGACCGTGTGGGGCTGTGGAGCTGCAATCTGCTCCCTGCATGTCCCTGCCTGCAGAACCGACGCCCATCACAGGGACATGCAGGGAGTGGATCACGGCTCTGCCCAGGGCTTTAGTCCCATTCTGTCAATGCCCCACAATCCCAGCCTCACTTGCCCATTCCACTCCTGGATGCTGCTCCCCACCTGCTCACAACCCCATCCCATTTGCCTGACTGAATGTGCCCTGCCCACTAGGGTCCCAGGTCAGTCTCCATGGGGACCCTACCCACACTGCCCACCCACCTGCTCCATCTGGTGCCACTAGCAGTGGGTTCAGGGTGGACCAGCCAAGGCCAAATAGAATAAATTGCCTCCCCCCTGGCCTGAAACAGCTCTCAGAAATTTCATAAGTGGCCTTCCAGCCCAAGTAATTGCCCAGTCCTGCTGTAGCTCATGCTCCTAAATATGACCAGAGAACCCCATTCAACCTGCTTTGTAGGAATCTGTTATTTCTCTATGACCAAATCAAAATTGTTCCAAATAATAATAATGCCACACACACACAGAAGCCTTGTACTAGACAGTGTCATAGAAGTGCAATTTATAATTGAATTTATAAATGAGCACCACTTTTCCAGTGCATAACACGAATAATATCATATAACTACCCTTTGCTTTTACATCAGATAATTTGGGAGACAGCTGTTCTTGAGAAACAGGGAGCTAATATATATAATTCTGCAGTTCTCAGTCTGACGATGCCTGCCTCACTGATAGGGCAGTTGCTATCTTTTAATTATACACAGATCAAAGAGGGGATATAATATTTCATCACCATATATTATTGAAGAAAGCTAGATTTATTTAAGACAACAAAATGTAAAATATTTAATTGTTTTGGGCTTTTTTCCCCAGCTCATTCAGAAGTTGACAGATGTAGCAGAAGAGTGTCAGAACAGCCAGTTAAAGAAATTAAAAGAAACTTGTGAAAAGTAAGGCTCTGTTTTTTTAACTAATTATATCTTCTTTGGCTAATTTTGTATAGAATATACATTTTGGATTAATCTTTATTCCTCTTTCCTTTAGAGAAAAGAAAGAATTAAAGAAGAAAATGGACAAGAAGAGGCAGGAGAAGATCACAGAAGCAAAATCCAAGGATAAAAATCAAATGGATGAGTAAGTATGTCCTTAAAAATGCATTCAGTTTTATGAAGAAGGTCAAGGACATTTCACATGTGGAAAATAGAAAGGGAAAGCCTCAGCCCTAAATGCCAGGCAGTCAGTGTGCAGGCAGTAATCAGTCACGGAAGTAGTAGTCAACACTAATTTCATTTCATGAGACTGATCCAGCCCCATTTTCCATAAGCACTGCAGGCCCTCTGGCAGCTCTAGTGGTGCTGTTACACTGTACAGGAAGGGACTATGCATCACCTGAGAGCAAACACATGGAAAGCACCTGTGTCAGGACAGAATATGTATAGCCTTTGCTTGTCAGCACAACTACAAGTAACTTTACAGTCATAAAAAGACCCATTAGCGTCAAGTCCCTTATATAAAGTTATTGGCCTGCTGCAGGAGAGCATGGGGAAAACGAGGTCTTAGCTTTGGATGTAAGTATCTCTGGGCTTGTATACATGGGGACACTAGAAAAACCATCTAACTTAACTTCTAAAATGGACAAATAAAATACATTCAACCTCTTTGTGAGAACTGATTTAAAATTGAAGTGGCTTTAATTCTATTTAGTTTACTTCAATTCCAAAATAACAGTGTATGCAGAAGCACTGAAAAGAGGGCCCAAAGATGCAAAGACTACACAGTGTCTTACTTAAGAACAGAGAGCAGGAGAAGTTATTAAGATGCCTAAAGAAAAGACAAAAAATGGGCATAATAAGAGATCATATGAAGGAGAAGGAAGAATTATTTAAGGTTGTTAAAGGTGGCATAATATCATGAAAGTAAAACGGAAATCACTTAGGTATTATGAAAAATGTTTTAGCTGTAAAATCAATTATAGCATGAAATAATTCGTCAGGAGAGAGATTAATGAGATGCCAAGCTTAGAAGTGTTCAGAAGCAGGCAAATAAAAACCCTTCAGGGTTCCCTCAAACACCTTCCATAGGAGAACCCATGAGAAAGGAGAGAACAGATTAGGAAACTCAGATATGTTTCTTCCCAATTATGCCATCAAATGAATGTAATTTGCCCGGTCCCAGTTGAACAGATAGCAAGACCTTCCTGCAGAACCAGTGAATCCTTTCCTAATCATCTGTTCTTAGTAGCTACAACTACATCTCCTCTCCCTCAAGTGTGAAGTCACAATACACACAGAGTAATATAATGTGCTGAGCTTTCCAGGCTTTCATTTTTCTATTTTAGATCTTTTTTGGGTCTAGAGTTTACTATAAAAAATTTATTTTTCTGGTTCCCAAATAAGGAGGCAGCTGAGGAGTTAACCAACAAAATGGGCAGCAACTTAGTAGTGTAACTTAGGCGGTGGAGGGAGAAGGGTGGGAGAGGGTCGGCACGGGAGTAGGGCACCAGCCAGCAAGAAGAGCAGTTCCCAAGCTCACTGTTGCTGCTGCCACTGTAGCAGCAGCTATTAGAGAAGTTTTGGCTGAGGCAGCAGCAGCCCATACTGTCAACACAATTGCAGCAGCCCTTGAACAGGGAGGTAAGTGACCACTCACTCCTCCCCTTTCCCTGTATTGCCCAGGGTGCCAATATTTCAAGTTATGCCTCTGGGCAGCATTGTTTTAGAACACAGAAAAATTACACAATTCAAGCACAGAGTATAAGCAGGTATGTCCTACACCTAGCATGTGTCAATGCACGGAAGCACAACACCAACAAAAATTCAATGTCAGCAGAATAGTCCAGTGTGCAATCATTTGGAGTTATTGAGTTGGCCCTTATCTGACACTGGTGTAAAATTTTTTCACTGAAATCCTCTGACATGCAAGTGTTTGCTCTGAAATCAGAGGTCCTAGTTTACTTAATGATGTTATGGAGTGAACATTGCATTTCAGGATTTTGTCTTTGTCTTCATTTGGGCCAGGATGTTCCTTCTAGTACCTGTTTGTGCTGTTCCTTGTACCACATGTTGGACACAGTGCACCGGGTGGCTGCTTGTGTATTGTATTCTCTCTGGATTCCAATTTGACACGTAAAAGGGCACAACAGCCATGCTGAAGAGCTCAGTAAAAGAGCAGAACTTGTTGGATGTTATCAGGGCTTAAAGGAAGGACACAACATTGTTTCACTGTGAGAGGCCTGAGTAAAATCTGGACACTTCCTAGAAGACAGATTCTCCTTCTCCCCATGTGAAAGGCCAGTTAAAAATGCAGATGGATGAATGGACTGACGGATGGATGGACAGAACTGTGCCATCAAAGCATAATCCCCCTTGTGTAAGGAGGGAGCTGAATTCACAAACAGACTGTTGTAATTCTATTGATTGTAATAACTTGTTAACCGCTTGTCTTCAGAGAGAAGACTGAAATGATTCGATCATATATCCAGGAAGTGGTGCAGTACATCAAAAGGGTAAGTCAGGCCATTATGCTTATGTACATTTTGCAAAACTTCAGTTTCCATATTTAGTATCATACTGGAGGGTTTCTAAACTTTTAAATGAAGATTTGGTGACTGCAGCTTGAATAACAACAGCCCAGAGTGTGAGATACATTCTGTTTGATGTGACATTTGAGATGTGTGGGGTTGTTTTCTTCTGAGCAATAGGTAACTAAGGGATTAGTTAATTTTTCTGCTCTGTTATAGATGAGTTTGGATCTTTGAATACCGTATTTTTATTCATAGAAACTATATGCTATTTATTGCTTGTAGCTCATGAGAAGTTTTTTAAATGGCTTGCCCTCCCAAAAATCTAAAAATGACAAAGATCTCTGAAAGTGGATAAACAT